CACTGCCTCTGTTTTTGTTGAAGTCCGAATTCGAAAGGCAAACACAGAATAAATACGCTACAACAAGAGACGAAGAAATACACAATAAAGATTTAAGGAGCATTATGAAGTTAGTCGAAGACAACCCTAATTTAACCATGGAAGAGGCCACGAACATCTATTATGATGTACAAGGGACGGGAACACCGGCAATGAAGTATGAAAGGGGCAATCGTTTGGTTCCCGATCATGAGTATAAAAATCTGACAACATATATGCGCCAGTTACATAAATATTACATGGCTCAAGCAACAGAGATGGACGACTTTGGTTTTGTGGTTATTATCTGTTCGCCACATGTTTTCCAATATCCTGAAGAAGAGAAGTTCGATGTCGAGTGGGAATGCTTGTTCCAGCTATACCAAAAACGCTCTCTCGATGTTCAAATATTGACGTCGTGGACTATGTAATTACCCTACACGCACGATATTACAATTAACTACTCTCTCGAGACACAAATTGTTAACTTTTGAGCACTTCCCATGATTTTATGTAGGTGTATAGCAAAATTTTACATTCTAAAAAGCAAATGGGATTACATAGGCTTCTTGGACCTCATGCGAGTCAATGAGAGAACATGTCTAGGCCTCTATGGATGTGACGTGGAAGACCTGGAACAGAGATTGATTGCTGTTTTCGATGAATTCACGATGAAGAAGAAAACACACATACTTCTAGCCTACAACTGCGAGTATGTGTTCCCGGCTTTTAATTTTATGCTTCTTTTTTCGTTAAGATTATTCGATAATTAGGATTCTGTGATTGCAGCAACCATTTCGTCTTCATTTGTGTTAATCTTGCCAAAAATCTGCTCGAGGTGTGGGACTCGAAGAAAAAATCATTTCATCATCTGGATGCACTGGTGGCCGTGCTAAATTAGTAAGCGATCCTAATAACTATTATTTTCTAATCACACATACCGCTTTCTAATGTTTCTCCTTTTAATGTTGCTCAGTGTCCAAAGAAGTGGGACGCATGTCCCATTCAAGGTTGTCGAAATGGAGGGGAAGTACCTATCACAGCCGGCGGGAAATAATGAATGCGGGTTTTATGTAATGTGGGCAATGCTTCGCTACATCGGCGGAAAATCGGAAGAAGCCGATAAGTTGGTGTGTATAATCCCCATTTCATTTGTCTGTTAATAATTCAACAAAATGATTTACTGTTCCTCTTTGGATATCATCTTTTTTGAACGACAGCGCAAGAAATATAGCACAAAAGGCTGCTAGACATGGAGATCGTCGCACTACAATCGGAGCTGGCAAAATTCATCTTAGCTGAGGTATTAGAAAAAGATGGAGTATTTTCCATTGCACAATCCGTGAAATACAAGGACCAGTATGGCCTAGAGCGGCTCGCCAGATTATTGTAAGAAGTTCGAAAAGCATGTGTGAAGTCCAAGAACATTTCTTTTTTATTTTGAGGGATCGAGATGTGGATAAGAACATTTGAATTGTAATCATAACATTTGTAATGTTTAATATTGATGGACCTGTCGTCTACGTAGCGTATATAAAGCGAAACTCGATTCCACGAAAAAATATAAATTAAAATAAATTATAAAACAATAAAATACGAATGGGCCATCACCGCCGGTTAGCAACAAACCGGCAGTGTTGTCGTAACCATCACTGCCGGTTAGAAGCAAACCGACAATGTTGGCTTGCTCAACACTGCCGGCTTGAACCATGAACCGACACTGATAGTTACGAGAACACTGCCGGTTTGATCCATGAACCGACACTGATATTTACTACAACACTGCCGGTTTGTTCCATGAACCGACAATGTAGGCTTGCTCAACACTGCTGGCTTGAGCCAAAAACCGACACTCTTGAAGCAACCTTCACTGTCGGTTGGCACTACAAATCGGCAGTGTTGTTCAAATGGACACTGTCTGGTGGAGCCAGGAACCGACACTGTTTCCTGTATATCAGTGTCGGTTTTTAAGGACCGGCCGTGATGTCAACCCCCATCACTGTCGGTATGCCACTGTCGGTTCAAAATCTAGCAGTGAAGTGGGTTTTTGAACCGGCAGTGATGTCCAGATCTGGATAGTGAATTAAATGACTATGAAACTATAGAATAAAACTTTACATTGAAAGTGAGTGTTTCATTCAGAGTTTCATTACCTTGAAAAGCCTTAGGTATCTTTTCTTAAGGTGTAGCTCCGTAATATCCGTTGCCTAGAAAAATGCTGCGTTTATTGTTTAAGGCTTTCTTTTTTTAGCACATCGTGGATCCCTAAGACGGGCCACAGTCACGTGCCCGAAGTATTGGAACAGGTGTGTGTATAGTAGCCATACATTTTCTAAGTACTCCCTCCCTCCAAAAATAAATCAACTTCTGCCCTCAACTGTTTTCCTCCTTTTCCTTTTGGGCCTTGAAAAGGTTGTACCTTGTACATAAATATATAATGAAAAATTTAAGTAGGGGCCTCCCCTGCTGTTCCCTCAAAAATAAATCAACTTCTGGCCATGTAATAGACAAGCACATTGTGAGAAGTTGATTTATTTTAGAACCAAGAGAGTATATTACTAATATATAAGTTAATTTATATATGTTTGTTTCTAAGTGAAACCTTTTAGCTTTAACTTTTTTCAAGTAAGAAGTAACAACCCTAGTCGTTTAGCTAAGGAGATTTAAGCAATACCACATTCAATTTTATTTCACGCCCTTCAAATTATGAGGAATGCTGGCAAAACGAGTAACACATGAATGAACTAGGGCTTGGTTGCTTCCCATCCACAACACGCCACGCCGAGTTGTGGCGGCGCCTAACTCATGGCGGCAAAAGTGGACGCCACAATGTGGCGGGATTTTACACTAGAGAGTCTGGCATGTGGCTGCCACATCTTTTTACTGAACCAAGCAGCTGTCTCTTTGTGGTGTGGTGTGGCGTGCCTTATCTTTTCGTGTGGCAAAGGATGGTGGGGAACCAAACACCCCCTAGATCTTTTTGCCCATATATTGTGTCTTGAAGGTAAGAAGTAAGAACACGAGTGTGAGCATAGAGGAAATTTCTGAGAAATTTGCGTTGGAGATCGTATCTCTCTTTCTTCCTATATATTGCGCGTCGAACCCAAAACAAATATGTGGTTGTAAGGGATGCCATCCAAAATTATGGTGATAACAATAATATTGGCGCTATTGACGAATATGTTATTCTTTTTGTTTTTTAGGGTTTGTTTGGTGGATCATCTGGACTAGTTGTTAGCCCAACTAAAGTTAGGTGAATAAACTCTGGGCAACTACTAAAGTTCAGTCGTGTGTTATTTAGATACATGGACTACTGACGAAGACTAGCTAGTTGGGCCAGACTAAAGAATTAGGGAGTGTTTGGTTCTTTAGTCGCTCCTAAAATTCATGTCACATCGAATATTTAGATACTAATAAAGAGCATTAAATATAGATTAATTACAAAATCAATTACATAGATGGAGGCTAATTTGCGAGATGAATTTTTTAAGCCTAATTAACCCGTCATTAGCATATGTTTACTGTAGCACCACGTTGTCAAATCATGGCCTAATTAGGCTTAAAAGATTCGTCTCGCAAATTAGTTGCAAGTTATGCAATTAGTTTCGTAATTAATCTATATTTAATACTCCATGCATATGTTCAAACATTCGATGTGACAGGAATTTTAGAAGCCCCTATAGAAACCAAACAGGCCCTTAGTCCACCGGCCAGTTGAGAACTAGACTAAAGTTTAGTCCAGTGATATGATCCAAACAGATTCTTAGTCTGTCACTCGAGCAATGAATCCCAGCCTAAAATCTAGGATGGGTCCTTGACTCCTTGTTCACGATATATAAACTTGTTTATATAATAAATTTGTATTTTTGTGAATCCACCGACTAACAACACGTAGTTTTGTGGAATCTCTACTCTAAGGTCAACGACTTTCGCCAACTCGATCTTCCGTATTGGAAGTCAGGGACCATTCGATGCAGGTAGTAGACTCAGTTACGTTTGAGGCACATGGTCCTCCTCTCTTGAGTTTTCTCCTGATGACGGGTAACTAACTACATATATACAAACAATAACGAAGCAAAGCATACTCCTATAGCAAGACAAGAATGGAAAACAAAAATGATATATTTTTTATTATAAAATAAAATACTGTAAAACAGAGTAGGCCATGCATGGTTTCCAGAAGGCGGGTCCCACCGCTCCCCACCCCAGCATGGCCCCACAAAGGAAAGCCACGAGGAGCTGCTACTCCCAGCGCGAAGCTGCCAAAGCCAAACCATTGGCGGGCAGGTTTCTCAAAAAAAAAAAAATGGCGGGCAGCGCCGCTCGACACGTGGCCGGCGCGGTAGATGCTCTCCTCCGCCTCAATCCTCAACACACGTCGTCGTCTTCACCCTATCCCTGTCAGTTAAAAAAAAAGAGAGAAAAAAACAATAGTTTTGCCTTGGGTTATCCACGCGCCCTGCCCCACTCCGTCCGATCGCACACGGGTGTCCTACGTGGATCCACGCCGATAACCGCGGGCCCAGGGGCAAACCAGTCATTCTCCACCGCCCCATGTATCACCCCGTCTTTGACGCCGTATATTATGATAAAAAAATAGTATTCTGATGAATATAATTCATTAACTTACTGTAAACGCTGTACTTGATCCGGTTTGTTTTGGTGTGAAAACCGGTGGCGGTCCCGTACGAGGCTGGGCTATCGACGGCAATTGTCCGTTCTGCCCCTGTACGACGTCGTCATGCCAATCCACCACACCTACCGCGCGCGCAGGCCGTCTATAAAACGGAGCCCCAGTCCCTCCATCTCAAAAATTTCAAGACTCTCCTCCCTTCTAAGCACTCGCATCTCCTTCCTTGAGTCTCTCTCTCTCTCTCTCTCTCTCTCTGACTGTCTCTCCCTCTCCCTCTCCCTCTCCCTCTCCCTCTCCGGCTGCAGTCAACAACAGATCAGTGGGTGACCTAGCATTGTTAATTGTTTCCATGGCCATGCCGAGCCCCAGCCCCAACCTTAGCAGCAGTAGCTGCAGAGTGGTGCCAAACCTAAACCTCCCAGCCGGGTTCCGCTTCCACCCCACGGACGAGGAGCTCATCGTCCACTACCTCATGAACCAGGCCGCCTCCATCCCCTGCCCCGTCCCCATCATCGCCGAGGTCAACATCTACCAGTGCAACCCTTGGGATCTCCCCGGTAACCAACCAACCAATCCATCCATCCATCACGCATGGTTTATCTACCAACACACACGCCCTGAGATTTGATTTGATTTTATTTGTGTTCAGCCAAGGCGGTGTTCGGCGAGAGCGAGTGGTACTTCTTCAGCCCGCGGGACCGCAAGTACCCCAACGGCGCGCGCCCCAACCGCGCCGCCGGGTCGGGCTACTGGAAGGCCACCGGCACCGACAAGGCCATCATGTCCACGCCCACCGGCCAGCATATCGGCGTCAAGAAGGCGCTCGTCTACTACGGCGGCCGGGCGCCCAGGGGCGTCAAGACCGACTGGATCATGCACGAGTACCTTCTCGTCACCGCCGCCGACGGCAAGACGGCCACGGCAGCCAAGCGCAGAGGAGGATCCATGAGGGTGCGTGCGTGTGTGAGACTCTGAATATTGCTTGGTTTGCAGTTACTTTCACGGATAGCTGACATGTTAGTCTACGTTTGCAGCTGGACGACTGGGTGCTGTGCAGGATCCACAAGAAAAGCAACGACTTCCAGTTGTCATCAGATCATCAGGAGCAGGAGCAGGAGGGCTCGTCGACGGTGGAGCAAGAATCCCCAAAGCCCGAGCCTCTTGAGCACGACCAGTTCCAGTTCCATCAGACGACGCTGACCAAGTCGTGCTCGCTCACCGACCTGCTCAACAGCATCCACTACTCGTCGGCGCTGTCGCAGGTCCTCGACGGCCCAGTTGATGGCAGCGAAGCCCTGCCGCAGCAGAACCCTCCTCTAATCTACCCAACTACAACACATGAAACACACCAAGCACTCAACTATAACAACAACAACAACAACAACCACTTAATAAGTCTGCCACACACAAAGGCAACAGCATGTTCAGCTGATTCTGTCGTTGCTAATAACTGCAACAACGGTGTGAACAAGAGGAAACGGATGACCACGGCCGCCATGAACGACGGCGTTGAGTCCTTCGATTATGGCAGCAACGGTTTCAGTAGCAAACCGAAGGTGCTGCCAACTGATTCAAGGAACAGCAGCCATTTGGGCAGCACGTCCAGCAGCAGCTACTGCAACCAGCAGGTTGTGGACACGAGTGGGTTGTTTCAGCACAGCAGCCTCCTGAGCTACCCATTCCTGGAGATGCAGTAGCAGCTAGTGTTTTGAACGCAGGAATTTCACAGCAGTTTAATTTTACATGAGAAACGCAGGAACATGAATTTTTTTTTCCGCTTTCGAAACTGAGAGATCTTGATATGAATTCATATACAAGTTTATTTCAACTGAAACTTCGCCGGGTGCAAGTGCAACACAAGAACAAACAGAGCCGAAGGGGTGAATCGATTTTGCAGCCATTTGAACGTCGTCACCGTCTGTGGAGAAGGACAACTGGAGATGAGGAGATCCACAGAGAGGAAGAACTGGATTGTCGCTTGCTTGTGACCGGAACGCACAATTCAAATTGAGTTTCTCTTGAGTATTTTATTTCCATTTTTTTAGTGTAAAATATTTTTTTGTTGTAAATTAGGAGGTGTACTACGACTTAAAGCCACCTGTGGATCAATGAACGACGACCACGTTTCTTGTACTACATATATATTTATATAGGAGTATTGGTATTCAGCATGTGCTGCTTAATTGGTATGCCTTATCCAGTTAGATGAGTGAATCCATAGCTGTTGTTCTATTGGAATATACCTTTGTTGCTTGTTGCTACCTGCTCATCCCGTTGTGGCTACGGATGGATCAGAGTAAAACGTACGTGGTCAGTGCATCGACCTTGTCCTAGCTTGTGCCATTGAAGTAATGGTAGAATAGTTTGTGTTGCACGCAGAGTAGATATTGACCTATTGTTTCTTAGAATATATTGTCAATTTTTATGAAATCAACATCATGTTAAAAGTACTTTGGGTACAAATCAACTCTATTGGCCTGATTTTTATATATATACAGTAAACATGAATGAATTTAGTTGGACTAAGTTTTATGGGATTTGCTATTTTCAGGTGCATGAAAAATAGCATTTATTCAGGCAACGAATGTGAGCCATGAAGATCTAATGGATTAGATGTATGAATCTTGAAGCAAGATCAAAAGATCACGTTATCGCCTGAACCAAAGACAGATTGCAGGCACGTGCTTTTTAGGAAAAGTGAATTTTTATACAGTAAGCATGCATGAATTTCGTTTGACAAATCTATTGCCTCAATTACATTGATGGACAGAGGGTGTATATACATATAGTAATTCCACATTTCCACATCTCACAATGTCCTTGCTGATTTAGATTTGTCACTGATGAAACCAATGTCCAAGAAACAAATACTATGCTTGAGGACAAATGAACCGGGTTAAATCCCGAGAGTCCACGATTACTTGCATGGCATGCATGTAGACTGGTCACACGCAAGGATCGGCATCCATGGGTGCATATGCGTGAGTGGACCAATTGAATAGCAAAACGTCATCACGGAGATACTCATATTCTAATGGCAGCAGGACGCTGGAAAGACAAACGACGGCGGCGGCGCACGTTGCTGGGAATACCACTTGTTGTTTATTTATTTATATATATAATATATATATAAGCATGCGTGCATGGTCTACACATAGATAAGCTAGCCCTATATAGGGTTTGGTTGAGAAAGTCTCCTCACTGGAGACAGCGACTTGTTTATGCTTAGCTTGTAGCTAGCTCTTTCATACGCACACAATATAATCAGTCGTCGGGTACCTGCAGTACAAGAAGATAATGCAAACAATGCAGCTATACATTATTACTTTAGTTTCCCCAGACGGTCGATCAACCTCTGCAAACCCATTCTTAGAAGTAATCGCCAAGAAATTTTACTTATTAGCTGTAGTCGGCAGCATGGGGTCGTCAGATGCATTCTGAAGAACCTAACCATGCCTGTACATTTGGTGCCCTCCGTCCATCTGCTCCATATCTCCAACTGCTTGCCCTTCCTGATCAGATCTAGGTCATCTTATATACATCAGTGATGTGTTTGGATCGATATTCTGATGCCTCAGGCTACATATACCTTATGACATGTTCTAGTGTTAGTGCTGGTATATATAGTAGCCGTCACATTGTTGTAATAAGTTTAGTCTCCTCCAAAGAGGATGTCTGAAATACGGAATTTGATCCATTATTTTTTTTTAAAAAAGTGCTTGGCAATGATATATATACGGTCTATTTGGCATAGCTCTGGCTCTGAGACCCAAGTTAGATCTAAACTTCGAGATTAAATAGTTATTTAAATAGATTAACTATAAGCAAAAAGTGATAAATTTGAACGCTGTCGATGTACCATTATTAGCTCTAGAAACGAGATTTCTTGATGATACAAATACCGAACTCTCTGCCAAATAAGGTCATATAGTCTATAGCTTGAAAGAGATGATGGCCGATGATGAGAAAGTAGATAAGACAGGAGGAGGGTAAGGTCCAAGCCCGGTGTTGCTGAAGTCATGCCCGAGAACATAAAATAGATTATCTCGCTCTAAGCGTGCTCATGAAAAGCTAGCTAGTTGCTAATGAAAGGTTTTAGAGCTTACTAGGATATCTTTGAATTGCACCTGCTATGTCAAACGGCGGTTGATTATTCCCTTTCTAGAATGAACTACTCACTAGCCGTTCATAATTGATTGCTTGATGTGACGTGAACTCATGTAACTGTTGTTCTGATCCTGATTCAGCTTTGTGTAATCATGAAAATATGGCGCTCCTAGTGCAATTGGTGCCCTGTATTCAGACAGTTTTGCCTTGAACTCAGATGCTAAAATGGCGTCCTGGAGAGCAAGTAACCGGGCCTAACTTTTATGGGCCATAATGGTCAGCGCACAGTTCTATACCACAAATGGGCCATATGGACCCAAAATTTGCTCCCTACTTAGAATTAGCCATCACTCCCTTCTCAACGTGTGATCGTGTACATGCATGGGCTATAATCTTTTCGTACACTCCCTTGGTCAAAAAAAAATTCTAGCTTCTACAAATTATTTTTATTAACTTTTATATAAAATATATTGTTTATGATACAAAATAATTGTAATTAGATTCATCATGAAATATATTATTATACCTGTAAGTGCAATCAAGCCCTATTGTGGGTTTTGGTGATAATGACCACACAATTAGAGGACTAATGAGATTTATCAAGTTGACAAACAGGTAAAATGACAAGGAGGATTATACATGTGTTGGTGGAGCACTACAAAAGGGGATACAATGCACAAGCTTCAATGTGTAAAGTTGACAAACACTTAATTATTTCATATTTCGAATTTGAGTTTATGAAAAGCCGCACTACAAAAGGGGATACAATGCACAAGTTTCAATGTGTAACCATGAGCTCAAATAGCCACCAAAATATCCTCATTTCCTAGCCAAGACAGCAAGCCTTTCACTCCATCGCCTTTTGGCTGTCTTTGGCCGAGCAGCAGTGCCGCGTGAGCGAGGAGCTCTGCCGCGACTTAAAATGACCGTTGGGGTCGAGGGGGTATTTTATTCTCTCCCTCATCCCCTCCAATGGTCACCTCGCCCATTTCCACGACTCAGCAACCAGAGCACCTCTCCTCTCTCCATTGTAAGGCTCCCAAGCTCCCAAGCTTCTCTCCCTTGATTCCCTTGCTAATCTTTGAGAGATTGAACCTCCAACTTTGATTGGCTGCTCCAACTGATCTCCAACTCGTAGAGCTTGTGGTTCACGTTCAAACGGGTGGATTACATCTATTACTCTTGGAGCTTGCTCCTAGCCGGCTAGAGCGTTGCTCGTGGAGCTTGCCAACTTGTGTGGCAGCCCCGGGAGGTTTGTAATTACCTCAATCAACTAGTGAAATCACTCATCATCTCAAAGAATTCATTCTCTTGACTTGAGAACGAGGATAGGGTTTCGCGAAACCCAAGCCTTAGTGGCTTCCCCAACAACGTGGACTTAGGCAAGCCTTATTATCGAGCTAAACCACGGGATAAATCGGTGTCTCACTTGTGTTCTTGTGATTTGCATTGCAATTTTTGAGTTTGTGGTGATTCTATGGATTGGTCCTAATCTACTTGTGCATAAGCTTATGATCTGATTCAAGTGGTGGAATAGGTTCAATACTACCCCGGGAAGCTCAGTAATTTACTCGATCTATTTTTCCTTGGGCAGTTTTTGAATTGTAAGCTCATGGGTCTGTGCGAGCAGCAGTGCTGCTTGAGTGACCAGCAGTGCTGGTCCTCCAAGCAGAAGTGCTGCTCAGGTTTTTAACAGAGCTTTTCAGTTTTTGTTTTGACAGATCTATTCACCCCCCTTCTAGGCTTAGCAGGTCCTTACAATAGCATACCTATTTAGAGTCATAAATGTTAATAATATTTTTATAAGTTTCGTCAAACTTAAGGAAACTCAATCCAAAACTAGTCATAAATGTTAATAATATTTTTTTTATAAATTTTGTCGTGCTTAAAGGAAATTTGTCTTGATTCAAACCCAAAATTACACCTTTTTAGAACAGAGGTAGTAAGTATTAGAAGTTTGTAGAATTTATAAGACATAAGTGTTATAGTTCATAGACAAATGTTGTACCTAAAACAAATTGGTTTTTTTATCTTTCTACTATTTCTGTATTTATTTTCTAACAAAATACCCAAATAGATAGATTGACCAATTACTTTTTAAATATATTTTTCATCTACATTCATAGTTTTCCTCTTTAATTTTCATGTGACAACTGTGTGTGTCTTCAATATTTGCTTGGTGAAACCACCTTGTCTTAAGGTCTTAAGTTATATTAGCTCTAGTTGTACCTGCCATGAAATAGTGAATCAATATTTTCTCTTTCAGATTTTGATCTTATTAGTTGCAACGTTTTTTTTTCCATATTTTTAATTTGAAACACTACTTCTTATTGTATATTTTATTCAGAACTAAAATTTAGAATGGGAGGGGTAAGATTTCCCCAAAAATGATACCTTATCGTTTCTTGTGCATGGCAGAAACTTAATTGTTCCAAAAAGTCACGTGGGAACAAAAATATTTACAAAGAGAAAGAAAGAAAGAAACGATTTTTTTCCCCAAAATCCGATCATCGCATCTTGTTACTGATTCAACTACATGAATGTAGATTATTGGCACACATGGCTTAGCAGAGCTGCTTGATTACAGTGT